CCTGCTGAGCTGTTGCTGGGTTCATACTGGAGCCTTTGGGAGTGCAACACAACTTGCAACTTGCTAGGAAATGAAAATTAGGACCTGAAAAGAAAAAAAAAAAGAGGTCACTCCTGCCATCCTCTTCTATAAGAACACTTGCTTTCTGAAAAATTTGGAGGGTAAAAATGTTTCTAATTATAGAACTCAGAAAGACCGTTAACAAAAGGGACCATAACAATGGGCTTGAATATGTCAGAGATGTCAGTGGTAAGGAGGGCGCAGGACAGGGCAAGGTTCAGATCTGCTGTTCACTGGGCTGCTATGAGCAGTAGTTCTCATGGCACCTAACAGCAACAATCATACAATACAGGGGGGAAGCTGCACAGCCTTGCCATCTACAGACAATGGGAGGAAGGTGTGCTGGCTATGTGTATAAACAGCGAACAACTGTTACACAGGGGTACACGGAAGGTCTGGGTAGTAGCGAGCCAGAATGGGTAAATTTCCCCTTATGCTCTTTACCAATGCTTGTTTCCTAAGGGAAACCAGTGAAAAAAACTCCGCAAAAATGAAAAGACCACAACTTCTCAGACATACAAAATTTTAATCATACATGAAAGAAAAGTCAGTCACATCTCAGGAATTCTTTTCCAAAAAAGCCTTAACTGTAAAGTTCAAAATGAGAACTTGGAAGGGGCAGTGTATAGCTTTTAAATTTTATACATACCACCTTCACAGTTCAACGTTTTATTTTTTTTAAGCTGCAAAAAATATACTTCTCCCGCAGAAGGAAACACATGATCTTCGTAAATGCAGACTTAAGTCTCTTGTAATGAAAAAAAAAAAAAAAAAATCAAAACAAAGTAAATTAGTAGTTAAGGTAGAAGAGTTGGTTGTTAATGTCACTTAGTTACTTAGCTGTTGTCACTCAGGTGAATTCTTCCTCCTGGATGTCTTAACTCAGCAGAGAATTTCCCCCCAACACCTATCAATATCATGGAAGAAGTGAAAAGGGAAATAATAAGAATTGCTTTTAGTTAGTTTGAAAAATTCTTTTCCTTGATCCTACATGTTTGAGTGAAACCCCCCACTCAAAAAAACCCCAAACAAACATTATCTCTCCCGATACAGGTAGATCAGGGATGGGGCGGGTTCGGTCAGAGCCGCTGTGCAGAGAGTTGCTATGAGTCATGTAGGCGACTTGACGGTACATAACCTTAATATGAAACTATAGAATTCAAAAGTACCGTAACTGTTGGCAAGGAAAGAATTTATATAAGAGCTGAAAGCTTCAGTCTGTGTAAAGCTCAATTTTATTCTTAAAAAATAAAATTAAAAAATCATTAAGAATGACCAGATAGTATTTCATGGTCACATGGTTATTACACATAAAATTAAACCTCAGTAAGACCTCAGCTTTTTCTGTTTAAAGACCAGGCTCTACTATAGTATGTTTGTAATTTTTTTTTTTTAAATCTCTAAAGGAGTCTTATTAGGAGTATAGCTTCATCTTTCACCTAAACCCAAATCAAAACAAAAAACAAACACAGCCTAAAAAGAAAATAAATAAAAAATTAACCCCCCCCCCCAACACCCCAGCCAAACCTGTTTTCTTATCTGTAATGTGGTCACAATTTTAAGCATCTAAAACAATAAGGGCGTTCTGGCGACCTACTGGTAAGGAGCTGCACTGCCAACCCAAGGGCACCCAAAGGTTCAAACACACCAGCTGCTCCGCATGCAATTTACCGCCTTGGAAAACCCACGGCAGGGTCAAGCATGAGTCAGTTCCAACTTGATGGCACTTAACAACAATAAAATAACCTAAGATTATAATTTAGACAAAGTCACTTATATTTTCAGGAAATGACAATGTCACCCTTCATTTACAAACACTGGTGTTGCCTTTGTTTCCCCCCTTCCCTGGTTTTCCATTTTAAAAGGGCTCAGTCTATAGAACTCAGCCAAAGAGCTCACCCCAGAAAACACCCACAGTCTCAGCCTTTTGCCAGGTGGGCCTTCAGCAGCCCTGGGAGAGAAGATAGGGATAAATATAAGAGCATCTTTCCATTCTTTTATTCTTTCAATTTCCAAGCCTACTTTGTTCTTTTCTTTGTCAGTATCATTTAGTGAAATTTGTCTTTCCTCAAGTACAAAAACCTCCTGAGACTAGTCTTACATTTATTTTGTTAAAGGCGTGTTCAAGGTGAGACAAAAATAGCATTTAAGCATTCAGTGAGATCGCAATTCATGGAAAGTCCTAGAATAGAAAGAAAAGTCTCTCCTTTTCATTAAGTCATGGAAACTCTACGGGTAAGGGAAGAAATAGCAAAAGCATGATATTGAAATATCACCTATGTGCTCACAATAAAGGAAAAAACACAAACTCATTCATTGCACTTGAGTTAGAACTGACTCACAGCTGTCCCTCTAGAGGGTTTTTGGGGGCTGTCAAGTGCACAGAAGGAGAGGGCTCACCTTTTGCCTGTGTAATTGCTGGTGGATTTGAACCTTTGGGTTACCTGCACGATCCCTACCCACTAGGCCACCAGCGCTCCCTATAATAAGGAAAGAAAAATAAGTATCCAAACATATTTTTAACTTTAACTAATTCCAAATTTCACAAAAATATATGTATGAAAACTTCACTTAAGGATGAGAAACAAGACATTTCTTCCTTTGAGGGGGAAAATTTTAACAGAATTAAATAAATGCAATGGCTGCTGTTGTATAAAACTTGTGTTGTGAAAATACTCCCCTGAGTCTTGGTTGGCTTGCCAGCACCTAACAACAGTAAGTACCACCTCTTTAGTCAGGAAGCTCGGATTGATTCTGCTTAGGTAAGAATACTTTACAGCTTATAGGAAAATTACCCATCTTTCTAATGCCATTACTCTGGTTAATATGGGAAATGGGCTATTGTTTATACTGTTGCTGTAGAAAACATCAAGTACTAAGATTTTTCAGAAGAGCAATTTATGCCAGAATTGTACTTAACAATGTATTAATTTTCAATAAACCTTAATAGTACTAGGATCCAGAATATTTTTTTTTCCATAAAAACCTTTTGTTTCATCAGAACTAGAACACAGAACCAGCAGAACTGGGATTAATCTGCAAGAGAACCTAATTTAGTGATAACGAACTCATTCACCCATTGCTGTCAAGTCAGAACTGACAGCTGGCCTTCCGCTGGGCTCCAAGGTTATAAACCACACAGGAGTTGGCTGCCTGTCTTTCTGCCCTGGAGCTGCTGGGGGTTAGAACTGCCAGAGAGGAGGAGCCTTGGGGTCAGCAGTGCAGCTCCAGCAGATGACGTTACCAGGGTCACTAAATGATAATGCTGTCGCTGTGTGCCATCGAGTGGAACCAACTCATAGCTGTCCCTCCACGGGGGCTTCAAAGGCAGTAAATCAGAGGAGGAGACGTCCCATCCTTCTCCCTTGGAGCAGCTGGTGGATTCAAACTATGTGCCTTTGGGATTGCAGTGCAGTTTCTTTTCTCTAGGTCACCAGATAACAAAACTGTTATAATTACAAATTTCCATTTACATTTTTGCATTCAATAAATTAATTTTTAAAAAAGAATATTCATGATTGATATATAAAAATCTATCCCAAATAAATTAACTAAAAATTGTTAACATATAAATGGGAACGTACAACCATTCTGAAGCAAAGTTCAAAGACTGAAAAAGCTTTGGTTGTGACTTACACACAGAACTGTGTAGTTTTTACACTGTTATGGTTACACAGAACAGAGACTGGTATAATAGATTTGAACAATGCTAATGGTTAATGACATACAGATCATTTCATAGACTACTTCCCCTGGAAGTAAGTATTAAAATTGGAAAAAATAATTTTTTCCTTAACACACATAAGAGAACACTGGGATCCATAATTCTGATTTACAAATCACCACCGCCACCAAAAACCCCAAAGCCATACAAGAAATTAAAGGCCCTGAGTGTCAAAATAAACTAGTAACAAACAAAACAGACAAAATTCCCAGACCTTCTATGTTCAGGTAAGTGAGCATTCACTAGCTACAAATTAGAAGGAAAAAGTGATCCATTTACAATTCATACATACACTGTTGGCATATGAGCTGCCAGTTTCAAAACTGGTTAACTGTAACCGACAAGGAGGTCCAGACCACGGTAGGGATGGAGTAGACGGACCACCCAGAACACAGAGGGTACTTGTGAGACAAGAAAAATCAGAAAACAAACAAAAATCAAACTACAAATAATGATTTTAAGAAAAGTGAGACTTTCTCAGAAGTCAAAGACATACAGAAGATTCTACTGACAAAAGAAAGATGATTTTGTTTCCACATGACTTTAAAGCACGGTAAGTTCGTATGGTTTATAAGGACTGATTTCTAACTGTTGAAGGTTCAGAACAAAAGAATAAAGGAGGATACAGACAGGTAAGAATGTTCTTCAACTTTTCTTCATTGAACAGCAAAATTCCCCTGAAGAATAAGAAAACTGAGTAAGTTGGAAAGTAATTATTTCTAATTTTAACTACATTTTCCTTTAGCCTATTTGAATATTCATGGACGTTCCATACAACTGAAGTCACTTTAAGAAGCAGCCACTAATACTGATCTTGCTAGCCGGGTTACAGATGAATGATGACATGATTTTGAAACTACTCTAAGGAACCTTTCAAAACAATGAAGATTTTCTACTTGTGATCTTGTTTAATTAATAAAAAAGTCTAGCCAGTTTATGGCTAATGTAACATGATAGATGTATTCAGTTTAGTATTTTTAAAAGCAATGTTCTGCTATATAAGAGCAAAGGTATGTTGGGGTCCCCCCCAGTAAACTACCTTTTTAATCCTACAAAGCCAAATGATCAAAAACCATAATTTACTAGGAAAGAAATAACTGTAGGTGTATAATCTATTATTAAAAGAAAACCAAATGAAAATTATTGAGAAAAAGATTTATTTATAGAAAATTCAAACTGGTCAGTATCAAAATAGGTTTCTCTGAAATACACTTACTTATAAAAACATATTGCCTTTGCCATGTGAAAATCTGTTATTCAGTTCTCTAGATTTCTTTATCAGAGCTTTCTTCTGAGCTTCATCAAACCGATTAACCTTGAGGTCCTTATCACGGTCAAAAGGTATTCTCTCCTGGGGTTTGTTTTTCTCTTCAGCAGCTTTACTTTTTAATTTTTTATGATGCATGTCCATAAGAGATTCTGATCTTTTTGACTCCTGGGGAGAACAGATAGCAGAAATAAAAAAATCTTTGTTTATACAAATTATTGACAGAATATGACCATTGAAACAAAACAATTAGGCAATAGCAGGGCACATGAAGGAAGGCCATTCACAAACCCAGTATCTTTTTCAAATTCCAGTGCAGCATCTATGAAGACATTTATATCAGAAGTTAAGTTCAACCACAATGAGGATGACCTCTAATTATAAAGTAGACAATTAAAAAAAGTATAAAACAGAAAAGAAACAAACCATGCTGGTGTTATGCGCCATCAAGTTGAAACCCACTCTTAGCTGACTCTTTCAGAGGCTGTAGATTTTGGACTAGTTTTTAAGAGGCTGCAAACTGCATGGGAGATGATTGCCCATCTTTTTCTCATGGGGTAGCTGGATTTGAACTGTATGCTTTTGGGTTCACAATACAACTCCTCTTACCACTAGGCCAAACAAATGATATCACAATGGAAAGCACCATGTGAGATACTGGAATTTTAAGCACAAAAACATTCATGCAAAAGAGCGAGCAATTACATTCTCACTCAGTAGCCTAGTCAAAGCTTCCTGGATATGCTGGTCTTTGAACTGGGCTTAACAAGCGGGTGGAAGGGAAGGGCACTGCTCTGTTGTTGATACATGCCATCAAGTGGGTTCTGGCTCGCAGCTTCTATTTAACAGAGCACTTCCTGGTCCTGTACTATCCTCTTCTCCACTGCTATTTGGGCCTTTTGTTTCAGTCATTGTCAGTCTCTTATTGAGAGTCTTTCTCTGTTCAATGACCCTCTGGATCTACCAAGCACGATGTCTTTTTCCAGGAATGGTCTGTCCCAACAACACGTCCAAAGTAGAGTAATCGAAGTCTTACTACCCTTGTTCCTAAGAAGCTTTCTGGTTGTACTTCTGGTATCCCATGGTATATCTAGTTATCTCTGCTAATATAATAATCCAAAAGCACGGATTCTTAATTCTTGATTCATAATCCACTTTTATATGCATATGAGGTACTGAAAACACCATAGCTTTGGTCAGACACATTTTAGTCCTAATGTGCTCTTTGCTTTTTAACAACTTGACTCTTTTGCAATTTGTCTGGCACAGTACAGAGTTTGCTGTCTTAACTGTTGTTTCCATAACACTGTCTGTAGATTCAAGAAAAAAAATTTCATCCAAGGCAAAATGTTGAAATAAAAAAAAATTATCCTTTTTTTCTGGGAAAAAAAAAAAAAAGAGTACAGTGGGTTTGCTGGTTCTAGTTGAAGTGTCCAGCATGCAGATATTGAAGAACAAAAACACAGAAGATGGAACAATTTTTGTTTAACAAATTCATGTCTTCCAGGGCCTGGCCCCTATGTCACCTGGGGACAAAAGGAGTGAAGAGATCTCAGTGATAGCAAAATACCAAGACACTTATATGAATACAGTTATATGATGGCAGTGTCTTAGCTCATCCAGAAGAAAAGTCAGGGTACGTCCTTCCCTTCTCCTTACATACTTAATCTGGAATTCAGATATGTCAAAGGAATAGCAACGAACATATTTTTAAACAGAACAATTAATCAGACAGATTTTTCTGATGGAACCAAAGTATGATGGCTGATTTGAAAATGAGAACTGGATTTGTTAAAATTAGCATTTTTCACAAACGGGATGAATGAGCTCCATCGAGAATTACAAAGTTTTAACAAAATGTGTAGATAATACTGTATTAGTGAATTTACATTTAAAAGCAAGATCTGGTGGCCTACAGAGTAAGAAATTGCACTGCCAACCCAAAGGTAGTGGTGGTTGTTGCTGCCAACCCGAAGGTAGGTAGTTCAAATCTGCTGCTGATGCTCAGGAGAAAGATGGACAATCTCCTTTAACATGATATACTGTCTCTGAAAATTCCCTGGAGGGTCACTTAGGGGTTAATTCCAGGTTGATGGCAATGAGTTTGTGAGCTTGATGCATTTAAATTAACACTATTTACATTTTTCTAATACCTTCTTGGGTGTCAGAACCCTTGAAATTTGGGTTTTCTAGCCATTGTGTTAGGCCGTTAGGGGGGAATAATTTCCAGCTACCTTAACTGCAGACACGTGGTCTTACATATCATCAACACCTATGAGACCAAGATAAGGGAGCGCTTTCCCCACTGTGAGAGACTGTGACAACAGTGGTTGAGAGTGAAGAGACTGTGGCACTGTTGTAAAGAGATTGTGGCAAGGTGTAACTAGAGGAGCCTTGGAAAAAAGCCAGTTAAAAGATATTGTTTGCTGGATGACTGAAGGAAAAAAGCTGACTGATAACTGCTCTGAGATAAAGTCTGCTGGATGACCGAAAAAAACCAGAGGCTTCTTGCATTTATGCTGCTGAACTGAACCAGGACTTTCACTAACTGAGATACTGGGTCTTGTTAATCTGGCCTGGGATTGTTGGACCAAACTGGAATTGCACTGTGAGATATTCTTTGCCTCCCCTACTCCCCAACCTATTTCTCTAATACACCCCACAACTGTAAATAAAGTCCCAGAGTCAATTTTCAATAAACATTGGGCCCAACAATTTGTATAAATAGGTGCAGGAGTATGGGGGGCGGGGTGGCATGTCTGTGTCGCTATTTGTACAGTGCTGGCCTAGTGGCAAGAAGCTGTGTTGCAATCTTGAAGGCCTGAGGTTCGAGTCCTTCAGCTGCTGTGTGTGAGGAGGATGGGCATCTCTTCTTGTGCAATTATCTGCCTCTGAAACCTCACTGGAGGGTCAGCTAAGGATCTGTTCTGACTCAATGGTACACCACAACAACACATGTGTATCCATATAAGAATAAGGCATTCTTGGGTTGTGCAATTAGTTAAAGGTTTGACCATACTCAGATGTGACTCAGAAGAAAGACATGGTGATATGCTTCTGAAAAGTCATAGCCTTCAAAAAATCCCATTGATACACATGGGGTTGCAATGATGGTCTTTCTCCTTTCAACACTAGTAACTGTGGGTAAATGATTTATGTTTTATTGGTTGACACACAAACATTTCAGAAAGTATTATAAGAGCCACTGGTAATGAAGAAGGTCAAGTTGCACAGAAGGCATTGGCAAAAAATAAGGCCCCAGGATTAATGGGATACCAACTGACATGTTTCAACCAAAAGATGCAGCCCTGAACAAAATCACCAATCTATGTCAGGAAATCTGGAGGACAGCTGCTGAGTTGACTGACTGGAAGAAATCCCTATTTGTTCCCATTCCTAAGACAATCAAATAGAATATGGAAATAAGTGAACAATACCATTAGTACCACATGCAAACAAAAAAATTGCTGAAGACTATCCAAAAGTGGCTAGAACATAGACACAAAACATAGAGAACTGCTAGAAGTTCAAGCTGATTTAGAAGAGGCCATGGGCCTTGGGGTATCACTGCTGATGCCAGATGGATCCTGGGTGAAAGAGAAAATCATAAAAAAATGTCAATTTTAGTTTTATTGACTGTGTAAAGGCATTGAATTTGTAGATAATAACAAATGAAGGCTCACACGGAGAAGAATGGGAACCCCAGAACTCAACTTTGATCATGCAAAACCTATACTTAGACTAAGAAGTGGTTGTTTGAACAGAGCAAGGGAATACTGGATGGTTTAAAATCAGGAAAAGTATGTGGCAGGGTTGTATCCATTCTCCATACTGATTCAATCCATATGCTGAGAGAAGCTGGACTTTATGAAAAAGAATGTGGCATCAGGATTGGAGGAAGACTCAGCAACAACCTACGTTATATAGATGACACAACCCTTACTTGCTGTAAGTGAGGAGGACTTGAAACATTGCTGCAGTAGATCAAGGACTGCAGCCTTCAATATGCATTGGATCGCAATGTCAAGAAAGCAAAAATTCTCACCACTGTTTATCATGATTAACAATATCCTGATAAATGGAGAAAAGATTGAAAGAGTCAATGATTTCACCTTACTCGGATCCACAATCAATACCCTTGGTACCAGCAGTCAGGAGATCAGGCAACGTATTGCTTAGGACAAGTCTGCTGTCATGGAACTCTCCAAATTATTGAGGAGCAATAATATCTGTTTGAAGACAAAGGTGCTCCTGATCCAGGCCATGGTCTTTTCAATCACTTGCCACGCATCTGATAGCTGGACAATGAATAAGGATGACAGAAAAAGAATCGACACTTTTGGGTTGTGGTGTTACAGAAGAGTACTGAGTATCACATGGACTGCCAAAAGAACAAATGGATAAATCTTGGAGGTGTAGGTAGAACGTGTCGTGAAGACAAGGATGGTGAAGCTTTGTCTCACATAATTTGGACATGCTGCTAGGAGAGTCTATTCCTTGGAAAAGGACATCAAGCTTGGAAGTGTGGGGGGTTAGTGAAAGGAAAGCCCTCAACAAGATGGACCAACACAGTGGTTACAGCCACGAGCTCAACTGTCTCAGAGATTGTGAGGATGGCATGGGAGAGGGTTCAGATCTGTTTTTCGAACACAGGGTTCCTATGACCTGTACATGACTTGACAACACTTAACAATAACAACAACAACAATATGGGGAAGAAACTATAAGATCTAAGAAGTAAAAAATATTTAGCACAATATCAGGTACATAAAAATCACTCTTTAAGGTACAACCATTCTGGAAGGCAGTTTGGCGCATCTTCAAAAAGCTGAACATAGAAATTCCATATGACCCAACTATTCCATTCCTTAGATTATAACCTAAGAAAGTGAGAACTGAGGCTCAAATGGAAATTTGTACACCAATGTTCATAGCAGCATTATTCATCATTGCAAGAACAAGGAAACAGCCCAGATGTCCAACCACAAATGAATGGATTGAGAAATTGTGGTACTTTCATATAATAGAATACTATGCAGCACACAGGAGCGATGATTTTGCTAATTACTACCTAACTTGGGAGGGACTGGAGAGCATTATGCTGAGTGAACTAACTCAGTCCCACAAGGACAAATACTGTATAAAACCATTACTGTAGGGTAATTATGAGGATGGGGGGAGTGGAAACAGAAGGGTAAGGATGGGTGGAGGGTAGGGTGTTAATCATAGGGTTGCACAATTTGATGTGTGGGTGGGGTGAAGGAAATGGGAAGGATCTTTTGTGAAAAGCAATGTATTCAAACTTTGTAAATAAATCAGAATAAAAGAAAATCATTCATTAAGTCTTAAGAGTTAAGATTTATGGAACATTCATTCTATTGTAATCTTCAAAATAGCTCTGTAGGTTGTTATTATTTCTACTTTATAGGTCTGAAAATAAATTAATGTGACTAATGGGGGGGGGGAGAGAGAGAGAGATCAAAGGAGGTCTTATGAGTTGCCAGCTAAGAGATTACTGAAAATACTTTGCTAATAGGTTAGTAGGAGGTGTAAGGAAATTAATCCAGCAGTTCAGAGAACTGAATGGCATTGCTATAATAAAATAGGATCCCTTCTCATCCATTTATTTATGTAAACAACACTTTTTTAATGCTCAGAACTAAAAAAGGAAACAAATAAAACTGTGCTAAACTCTGTCTTAATCTAACAATAAGTTACCATTCAGGAAATAATTGGAAAAAGTAATTAAGAGATTAGGGTTTTTTTACAATGCTTAATATTCATTTATCAAAATATACAACATATTTATATTGTTTGATTATATGAAATCACAACTGAACTAGGAAGGAAAAAAAGTAGTTTTACATTTAATGCCCCAAAATAAACAAAACCCCTACTTTCCCCAATTTTTGTTACAATAAACTACGATAGCAACATAATCATAAAAGACTTTCAAGCAAAAAATTAAATTTCATTAGGATAAAACTGCACAGAAGAGAAAGGAGAGTATGAATTCATAAAGTAAAAAGATTAAATAAAATTTCCAGCCGTTAAAGACCTTGCTCATGTACATACTTTAATGGATAATGTTGTAATTGTTGTGTACGCTTGACCCACGGCAGGAAGTCATCTGGAAGAAGACTGTCCATCTTTATCCCATAGAGGTGGTGGTGGATTTACACACTGAAAACCATGGCCAAACAAGTCTTTACTCAAATTTCTCACGGTCACAGAACATGGTTGGGTTAAAAGTGACTCTTTGAGGGGTTTGGTTTGGTTTTTTGGTGTTTTTTTTTTGAGACCTATCTTTAGACTGGTCAATTTTTATAAATGTTACATGTAGGTCTAGTTTTCAGCCAATGTCCTATAATGTTTCATATATGCTTCCCTGTTCCTGGTGTTGATATGTCCAATCAACCAAGCTAAGTATCTTTAATGTTTGTGAACTTTTTTTAAAAAAATAATTTTTAATTAAACTATTGAAATGATCAGTTTTATAACATTTAATTTTAATATCCACATTATAATCACATTTACCCTATTCCCTCTAATGTTTATAAACTTTTTTATTACCCAACCATATGCCGTCAAAAGAGGGGAATTTTCCTGAACGGTTTTCAGGGACCATAACTTCACTCATTAATAGTTACTTTTTGAGTTAGAACACTCTCCAACTTTTCTAAAGACAGAATGTAACAGAATATATATAACATATATCAGAACACATCAAGTAAATACTGACCTGCTTAATTTGTAAATTTAAATTGAACTAGATTTTAAAATAGTTTTCTGTGTCTAAATTTTAAATTTCCCCCATATTAAATCTTTACACCAAACACCCCAAATCTGGTAGTAATTCAAAACTCTTAACTGAGAATCTTTATGTGATGTCAAGGCTCTGCTTTGTGACCAAGCACTCACTACCTGCACCTAGTAACTACATTTCTGAAAATTGACATTACGTGAAATGCATTTTAAAAAATCATGCATAGAAGAGTGGTGGACTTTTCAGGACAGGGTACAAAAAAAGTCTGAGGTTTAGAAGACAAAGAAAAAGAAAAATGAGAGCAGAATTCAAAGACATAAAATACAAAAGATGATACATTTCACTCCCTTACTTACATTGTATGAAGATACCTGCTCCGCCAATCTCTTGTCCCTTCCTGACATGATATGCTCTTCGTCCTTCTTACTGAGTGATTTCCTTGCTTCTTGTGATTCCTGAGGAATGAACACAGATAACAAGTACTTACTGAACCATGTAATTATGAATAAATAAAAAAGACATCCAAGTTATTTTCATGTAGACAGGAGAGACTTGCCAAGATGCTTGAATCTTTTCCCATTAGAAAGATTAATGTACTTGATTAAGGATCAGTTAGTGTTGTCATATCATTTTCATGACAACAAACAAAACTCCGACTTACCAATACATGGAAAGAAATACCTACTTTCTAACTCAGATATGAGTTTGATAAACATGGAAAAAAATACAAAAGGGTAAATAAAGTTTAAAAGGAAATCTGACCCTATATGTTCTCAAAACTAGTAAATTCATTCCACAGTGACACCAATCTTAAGAAGGGAAAGCAGATTTTAATTAGCGGCAAAAAAAAATAAGTAAATAAAATAAACAGGTTGTAATAGAAGAAATAAAATGTTACAGAATAAGTCACAGGCAGAAAGCTCCCAAAAATCTCTAAAAGAATTTCCTGAAACTAGTGAGCATACCTGCAGCTGCTTCACAGGACAAGGATGGGTAATCTCCTGTGCAATTTACTACCTCTGAAACTTGTCAGCTATGTGTCAGTTTCTACTTAACGGCATACAACTACAACATGCTGTAATACAGAACCCCCTGAATTTTAAGGGCTAGTAATATTTCTCTATCAATCCACAGTCAATAGTGAACTTTCAGTCCTGAGGTCTAAAGCATTCAACCACAAGGCTTAAAACTCCCATTCCACTCCCTGGCTGACTGTATCCATTTTTCTGTGGACTTTCCTCCAAGGAAGCCTCCCTGCACAAGTGGCTGTGGGTGAGACATCTTTACATAGTGAAGAAATTATAAAAACGGTTCAAACAAAAGCACAGATACAAAGTCCACAGAGCAAGAAAATAAGCCAGCTTTTCGGAGAGAATCTTAAAGGTGCTTATAAATTCTATAGGATGTTATTTTAATAATTTTTAGAGATAATCTTAAAGGTGCTTATAAATACTATAGGATGCTATTTTTATAAAACACAGGTATGAAAGCACAGACAAGCATTCCAACGCAAACTTCTCAAGATGTGTGGCTCATTTCTACACCTCTCTCCTGGCCTCCTAGTCCTGCCCTTTTCAGCTCTATGTGTGCTAATTCACCTCATCTGTTGTTGTTCTGCAAAGGTTCGAACTCACCAGCTGCTCCACAGGAGGAAGATGGGCAGTCTCCTTCCTTGTGACTTACTGCCTCTAAAAACCTGCTGGACGGTCAGCTATGAGTTGGTTTTGACTCAAAAGCACCTAACAACATTACAGTTCTCAGATTTCCTTTAATCTTTTGGTAAAAAGAGAACATATGCCACCACAAACTCAGAGTATGTATCACTAAAATGAGGAGACAAGTTAACTAGATCTCAGAATACTGAGGTTTAAATGGGATAATTTACTGGTAAAAAAAAAAGTCGTTAATGTCACCTTCTATCCTCATAATGGCCACCGAGGGGAAATCTGCTGCTGAGTGACCCTACAGGACAAAGCAGAACTGGTCTGCGCGGTTTCCATGGCTGTCGATGTTTATGTAGATTCAGCCACGTCCTTCTCTGCAGGGTGGCTGGTGCTGTCAAGCGTGGAGTCCACTACTCCTCATAGTGACTCTCTGAGTAATGCCCTGTCCCGCACCGTGCTCACCACCACTGATGGGCTTGAGCCATCATTACAGTTCCTGTGTCAATCAATCTAGTTGAGGGTCAACTTCTCCTTTTTTTGACCTTTCTCAGTGTGATGCCTTTTTTCCAAGGACTGGCTCATCCTGACAGCATGCCCAAAGATGGTCTGAACTGCCAACCTTTTGATTAAGTAGTTTAGCACTTAGTCCTGTGCCACCAGGGCTCCTAGGTTTAAAAACAATACCCTTAAATTAACAGCGAGCTCTGGTGGCCTAGTTGCAAGAAGCTGTGCTGCAATCCCAAAGGCACATGGTTTGAGGCCACCAGCTGCTCCATGGGGGAAGGATGGGCAATCTTCTCCCAAGAGATTTAATTGCCTCTGAAAACCTGCTGGAGGGTCACTTACCGGTTGATTACAACTGGATAGTACACAACAATAACAACAACAACCCTTAAATCATGTTCTCTTTTATTCTTTCAAATTAGACAGTAATAAATGAACAATTCAGCCTCTCACCTTAGCTTTCCTTTCTCTATCAGCTGGAGTATCTGTCCAGACTGAGCGATCTCCTGATTTGTCATCTGCTCGTCTTTTAAAAGTTCTTGGCCCCAGACCAAAGTCTTTCATTTCTGGAGGAAGCTCAGTCATCCATGATTCTCTTGTAATTGGCTTAGGTGAATCCTTTAAAAGAAAGCAAAGGTTAAGAAAAATAGCTGAACACTGGAAGATGTACACTATGAAGATGAATGTGGCATCAGGAAGGGAGGAAGACTCATCAATAACTTGAGTTATGCAGAAGACACAACTTTGCTTTGTTGAAAGTGAGGAGGACTTGAAGCACTTGCTGCAGAAGAGCAAAGAATACAGCCTTCATTTGGCTTTTCCTCAAAAAGCTGAATAGAGAAATATCACAAGATCCAGCTACCCCACTCCAGGAATATATTCTGAGGAAAATCAACTGAGACACAAACAGATCCGAAAACCGATGTTCAGAGCAGTAACATCTTATTCACAGTAAGAAAAACATGGAAATAACCCAAATATTCATCAACAAACAACTGAATTGATAAATTGTGGTACACTCACATGATGGAACATTATGCAGCACCTAAGGTCAATTATTTTCATAAAGAACTATAAAATATGAGAAAGGCTAGAGAGCATAATATGCTGAACATACTTACTTAATTAGTCCCATAAGGACAAATACCGTATAAGACCATTCTTGTAAAAAAAGGAGGATAACTAGTAAGATGTGGATAAAAGTTCAAAGTGGGAAGGGGAGGCAGGCAAGGGGGCTGAGAGTGGGGAGGGGGGAAATAATTGGACCACAGAGGGAAGGCTTGAAGGAATTAGGATCTATCTAGTGGGGGACTTGAAGAGATGGGGTTATAGTGGGCATAGATCAATGCTGATTAATTTTATAAAACACAGTGTATGGGAGTGATCATATGAAACACAATATGAATGAAGGAATGTGTGAATCACAGCGTTTATGAACGAAATACCAGCATACAAATTTTGTATGCAAACCAATATTTAAAAAAATAAAAACAACAAACCAAAACAGCCTTCAATATAGATGCATCTTAACTTGAAGAAAACAAAAATTCTCACAACTGGCAACATCATGATAGATGGAGAAAAGATTGAAGGGGTCAACAACTTCCTCTTACTTGGATTCACAATCAACACTCTTGGTACTAGCAGTAAGAAGATCAGGAGACTTACTATACTGAGGAAGTGTGCAGTCAGGAACCCCTCCAAATTATTGAGGAATAATGATGGATGGTGAAGAGATTGAGATTGTTCACAGCTTCAGTTTGCCTAGCTCCACAGTCAACACTCTCGGCACCAGCAGCCAGGAAATTAAAAGACATAGTGCCATGGGAAACTCTGCTGTTAGGGACTTCTCCAACGTACTGAAGAGCAATGGTGTCTCTTTGGAGACTAAGGTGCGTCTGATACAGGGCATGGTCTTTGCTATCACTTGTTATGCATCAGAGAGTTGGACAATGACTAAGGAGGATAGAAGGAGAATTGATGCCTTTGAGCTGTGGTGTTGGTGAAGAGTATTGAGGGTACTATGGACTGCTAGGAAAACAAACAGATTCATCCTGGAAAAGGTCAAACCAGGCTGCTCCTTGGAGGCAAGGATTCTAAGGTTCCATCTAACATAGTTTGGACATGTTGCAAGGAGGGAAAGGTCCTTGGAGAGGGACATCATGTTTGGTAGGGTGGAGGGACAGCGCAGGAGGGGAAGACCCCCTATGAGGTGGATTGTTTAGTGATTAGGGTAATTGAGATGGGTGTATCGGAGACAGTGCGATTGGCACAGGACAGAGCAGAGTTTAGGGATGTTGTACATAGGGTCGCTATGAGTTGTAAGCGACTCAACGGCACATAACAACAACAACAACAACAATGATGTCAGCTAGAGGACTAAGGTATACCTCATTAAGGACATGGTCTTTTCCTTCACTTGTTATGCATCTAAGAGCTGGATAATGAATAAAGATGACAGGAGGAGAATTGATGCCTTTGAGCTGTGTTGTTGGGGAAGAGTACTGAATATCTCATGGACTGCCAAAAGAATAAACAAATATGCCTCGGAAAAGGTGCAGCCTAAATGCTCCTTGGAGACAAAGATGATAAAAGATTTATCTCACATACTTTGGTCATGTTGCTAGGAGAGGCTATTCCTTAGACATCATAATGTTTGGAAGAATAGGGGTTTGTCGAAAGATAGGAATACCCTCAACCAGGTGGAGAGACACAGTGTCTGTAGCAATGGGCTTGAACATGTCAGAAATTGTGAGGATGGCAGAGGTCAGAAGAGCGTTCAGATCTATTGTTTATAGGTTCCCTACGGGTCATTCTCCACCTGGCAGCACTTAACAACAACAGTCTGTATCATCGTGTCAAGTGTATAAGCCTGTGTAAAACTTACATCTCCTCTAGTAAGTTTCTCTTTCATTCTCTGGGACCTTTTCTCAAACTCTGTGGTTACACTGTAGGTAACTGGTTCTTTCGCAGGCATCGGTCCAACAATGTCATCATGCTCACTGCTATCTGTTTCCTGTTAAAACAAGGTATTAGAAAGGTTACAAGTTCTGGAATATTATTCATATTACTTAAAATTTAACTTAAGTTGATTATGGACAGAAAATAAAATGAAAAAGAAAACAATGTATTGGTGCGTAATCACTGTACCAAGAAAGCCTTCACCTTGCCAAACTAGGTTTCAAGGGAATTCTTATCCTCAAGAAGATATATAAATAACAATGGAGTATTTGTCTATCAACTTTGATGGGCAATTTTTTTCTATTAGTTTTCATACTACCAGAATCAGGAGTACATTTGTACAACAGCAATTGCTAGATGTACAAGAAATTTAATAATTATAAACTATCTTTTAGCCTAATCTAAACTCCATATACATGTATAAACATTACTAACTATGGATTTTGGGATATCATGCTTTATTTGATGATCTTAAAAAATGTAAACTCAGCTTTCTATTCCTATTTTCCTTCTGAGGAAAGCTAGGAAACAGGGTCCAGGCTGATACAGTAATTATGTGCTTGGTTGCTAACTGAAATGTTTGTAGTTTGAATCCATTAGCTACTCCAAGAGGCAAAGATAGCAGTTCGGTGATAAAAGATACGGGGAAAGATAGGCAGTTTCCTCCCATAAAGATCTACCACCTCAGAACTCGGCTGAAGGATCACCAAGATTTGGAATCAACTTGACTAGCAGTAAGTTTGGAATTTTTTGGTTGGTTTAGGAAAATATATTTACAAAGATTCACTTAACTGAAAGGTTGGCAATTTGAAGCCATCCAGAGGAGCCTCGGAAGCCAATTCTGGCAATGTCCTCCCAAGAGGTCTCAGCCTTTAAACCTTAGGGAACAGGTCTACTCCACACACTCCACACACATGGTGTGTGCTATGAGTTAGAATTAACTTAAGAGCAACTAACAACAATAAGTAGACACAAAAACTCAGTGAGATAAACTGAATGCTCAGATCTTAAAAAAAAAACACATGGTATAAAATCAGTATTAAGGTTTAAGATAATAAAATAATTATAATTTTCCTTTTTATCTAATAGCCAATATCTTCCTTTTATCTAATAGCCAATGGTTTCATGAAGGCAGCATTTCAGCACATTCTGGGAGGAAGGTAGATGAAATCTTCATAAACAAAGACCACTTAGGATTCTGGAATCATAAACTATATCTGGGGGTGGAGAAGCAAACAAAAAACTAGGCCTATCACACCAAACTGAAAATGAAAAGAACATATACAGCTGACTGAAGCGTAATAGAACCGACAGGTAATTGATTCAAAGTCACAAGACTAACTTTGATTCTTGGCACTGCTAATTAAAAGCTGTATGACTGTGGTTAAAATACCCATTTATCTGGCCTTTTGTTAAGTAAGGATAATATATATTTCATGAGGATGTGAATAAGATAAAATTAAAATCCATATATTGGGAAATGCACCACAAACTAGAAAATGTTCTAGAAATCTCAACTAGCATCAGGCTTCTAACTAGAAATATTGTCCTCATACTATACTCCAAAATCCCTTGACCTATAAAATCACTCAAATACCTAAGTGAATTTTATATATGCAGTTACCAGAGCTGAGTAGAAAGGGGTTAATTTCAGGACAAAGATCATTATTTAAAAGCCCTTCTGTGCTTTCCCCTCCAGGTCAAATCGCAAAATTTCCTTGAACTTTTTTCACTTTTTAAAAAATTTTAATATTTTAAAACTATCCACTGAGGAAAGTGATGTAATGAACTCACAGAAGTAGTTTATTTACTTTCTTCAAGGCTCTTTTTGGTTTTGAGTAAAAGTTTACAAATCATATTGGTTTTACATTCAATTGTTCACAGACATTTTGTTTTATAATATTAATTATAATTGATTGATATAATTAATTAGACTGTCTAATGCCTAGTGGCAAGAAGTTGTGCTGCAATCCTGAAGGTACCCAGTTCAAGGTAACCAGCTGCTCTGCAGAAGAAGAATGGACAATCTCCTTCCATGCGATTAACTGCCTCTGAAAACCCTCCAGACTGTCAGCTATGGGTCAGTTCTGACTTGGTGGTACCTAGCAACAACAACCACCACCCCTACTGTGTATTTCCTTGCCCTTCAACCAACATACCAATTTATTCATTTTGACTTCTCTCTCCCTCCCTTCCCATCCTTGCTAACTAACCAAGTATGATTCTAGCGTGTAAGCATTTCCTTAGTCTTTCATAATCATGGTTTTATACCACAGTTGTCCTTTTGTATCTGACTAACTTAGCATCATTTGTTCTGTAGTCATTCATATTGTGCAGCATGTCATGAATTCTCAGACATGTTTCAGCGACTGTGTAAGTGTAAATGGAAGTCTCTTCAGCCACTGACAGACACACTTGTGGTTTAACACTTTAAAGTCTTCCTTGACAAATGAGAAGCACATACAGATAACATCCTGCTTTGTTATTTTTCTAATAGAATCTTACGTTTGTGATAACTTCTAATGTCACCTACTCACGTCACAATCATAAATTAATCTGAATGCAATGTCTGCTATTACAGTTGAGTCAAATGATTGTCATTATTGCGATGCTATGAAATTTTAAGTGCAACTGTGTTACATCTTATTCTTTAAAAGTTCCAAACCTCAGAGTTGAAATATGATGCGTGTCCTGGATCATCTCTGCCTCTGTCACTTTTCTGTGTAGATTTAATGAAACCAGGTGGTAATGCAGGACCTATTATTGGCCTGAAAGAGAAAATTCACTTCTATCATTTTCCATCACTTGAAATTTTCCAACTAAAGACAGATACTAACAAATGTTGAAATGAGAACTTTTATTTAGGAAAGTATTTCTTAGTATTTCTCACTAGTATTATCTGTATTTTCCCCTTACCTTTTAAAAATACAACTTTTGCATTTTATTTTGTACTTATTGATAATCAGACACTACAGTAGTTTGTAACCTTTGGTAGTAGAATATGCCTACTTAAAAAAAACACACCACTGTTAGATAAAAATGGTAATACTTTAAAAAGTTCTTACTATAGACCAGACTACGTAAAGGTCTTTCCTATTTTGTGCCTTGGCTAAGAATCCCGGCAATCACCGGAATAGATGCCTCCCACTGAAAAATGCCTCAGGGGCATTCTAATCTGAGCTACTTAAGTATAAATCGAGTTCTTTTAAGAATATATATACAGCATGTGCATACCACACAGGACAGCAATGCAAGGCACATGCACTGAGGTGGTATAGAAATCTGTCATACTGGCCTCACTGAGAACTCAGGAACAGTGTGGAAGTTTAAAGCAGGCCCACGGGAGAAGGAAAAGGTGCTGTGCTATCCACATTTCAATGACTGAGCCTTTCTGTTTCCTTGAAACAACCCTAGGTGGTATAATTAACTCCCACTTTCAAAGTGAGGAAGAGTGTGCCCATGGTTAACAGAGCCGCTAAGCGGCTGAGCTGGTGTCTGGAACCTGGCCTATCTGATGCTGAGGCCCCTTCTTTCAAGCGGAAGCCCTAAGCTGAAACTTCCAGGTTTCACTGTGCTCAATTAGAAGCTGCCCAGTCAGGCCTGGGAAAAGAATTAGAAGAAGGGTTTGGTCCCAGGTACTTGTCTTGGCTCATTAAACTGCCCTGATCCAAAGCTCATTCACACATGAAAAACAAAAGTTTATATTGGTATGATGATTAAACTGGCTAACATTTACCAGCTATAAAAGGTTAAGAGTTTTTTTTTTCCTGAATATAATTTTGCAATTACAGTTCATATCTCTGGCCTCCCTCTCACTGGTCTTTTTTTGTTTTTTCTCTTTATATTAAAAAACAGAAAGACAGAGAGAGTAATGTTCTCTCCAGTCTACCACAAAACAGTTTTTTGAGTATTAAGAAATGTGGAAATTTTATGATAAATTATAAAAATGTGATAGACATGCAAATAAGTAATTATAGAAATCAATTCTATGAACGATATATTTCAAAAGTTACCTATTAATACTATTCTAGATACACTTTTAATCAAGTAACAGACATTAGTGGCACTATGAGTGACCTGACATACTACATATTTATCACCTTGGAGGAGAATCATCCTGCTTTTTAAATCCAGGAGGAAGGGCTGGTCCGAAAAACCCGTCATCGTCATTGTCCTCATCGCCATTCTGTTTTCTCCTCTGTTTTCTAGAAACGCAGGAGTGTAACTATCTGGGCATGCATGGAAAAACATTCTTTTGCAGAGAGAAATTTTAATTTTAAAAAGTAAGTATTAATTTCAAGTGTTGAATAAATAAGAAAACAAATAATCTTGCTATGTTGGGGAAACAATCCACAAACCCCAATCCAACATCAAAATTATTACTATACTTTTATTTTCCTGCTATTACATTTTGGTCTCACAATAGTTAAGTATTGGTTACATATATACAACAATGTATCAACTCCCTATATTTATGGTAATAAAAACTCTGCTCCATAATTTTAAAGTCTACTTTTTGGAAGATGAGTGAAAAGTTATTAACTTTGGCTTTCAGAGTAATTTAAAATCTCTGTAGATGTTCATTGAAATGAAAAATAAATTAATTAATAAAAAAAGGAAAAAAAGGAAAGTCTTTCAATGTGGGACAGGGAAAGGACAGGGCGGGAGGAAAAGGCGCAACAATGAATGAATAATAATCCAACTTTTCTGCAAACTTTCATTACAATTACAATAGAAAATAATAAGAATAAATCATTTTAAGCTATTTCTTTTTCATAAGCCTTAATATGCATAAATATCCCCCAATTACCCAATAATAAATAAAGACCTGACTTCTTATTCACATGGATATATGGTGAGACTAAATGAAAAAGGAATTCATTCATTCTATAAGAGAAGAAAGGATGGGCAATCTCCTCCCATGCGATTAACTGTCTCTGAAAACTTGCGGGAGGGTCAGGTATGGGTCAGTTTCAACTCGAGAGGACACAACAACAACAACAACAACAACAACATGAAATGTATGGCTAATTGTTTCCATGAATACTGTAAAACCAGAATTCGATAGCACCTACCTACTAATACAGAACATTCTGATCAAAGATTCTATAGAAGAATCCTGGTCAAAAGGGGAGTGGAAGTGCAGAATAACCTTACATATTTTCATGGAATCTAGTGCCATGGAGGCTGTAATGAATCTACCAAAGTAGTGCCTTGAGATAATCTTTAAACCCTAAACCATGTAAACCAAGCAATATTGTAGCTTAATCAGTAGAGAATCCTTCCCTTGAGCACTGGGCTCTTTTAAGACCTAGATGGGAATCAAATGAACAACAGTAACTCAAAAGATTAGAGAATAAAGGGGATAGTGAGTGTATGCTAATGGGGAGGGGACAACATAGAAAAGGTGAGAATCGCTGGAAAACTTAGACAACGCAATCAGTGTCATGGAAATATATTTGGACCAAGTGTTGAATTAGTTGTATGCTCTGCTAAGTGTTAACAAAATTTTAAAAAGAAAGCAATCCCATTTTATAAAAGACAATCTTTCATTTACTTTTATAAAAAATATACACTGTATGTATGTGCAAATATTTTTTAAATTTTTTTTAGAGGATATATTTAGCCACTCCACAAATGTTACCATCTTCAGGAATAATTCTTTAGCTAAGAAACCTCCACAGCTATACTTTACTAGGATAAGTTACTCTGTAAAAAAGTAAAGACCATGATATAATGCAACACAAAAAGATTTCTTCTTGTGCTGTATGGAAATTGGACTGATAGGCCTTTATGAGTCCACTTACACTAAGTTTACAGCCTGGCTTATCATTTAAAGGAGGACTGACCTTGCAGGTGGACCAGGGTCCTCTTCTTCAGACTCCCGATTTCCTTCTTCATATGAAGAACTACTGTCCTCATCACTGTCTGATGAATCCGAACTACTGCTTTTATAGTTAGGAGGCAAAGCTGGTCCTGCAACTGAAGAGGATTTATTATTTGTGTCAAGAGATTGTGAGGATGGCACAGGAAAGGACAGGGCTCAGATCTGTTGTTCAGAGTTGCCAAGAGTCACTTGACTTGAAGGCAACTAACAAAACAACAAGTTAACCATAACCTCCAGTGAAGGATCTAGCTGCCATTTCGCATTGTGCCCTGTACAACTCACAGCTCCAGTTACCTATCATTCACTAGGAACTTGACTGACTTTTGCTAGTGTTTTGTGTACAGTGAAAGAGAGAATCATGTCTAACAAAGTATAATTGGGGTAGTCACAAGAACTTTGTTACTATCTAAATGTATAGATTTAATAATAGCATATAATTACCCTGATGATATAGTTTTTAAATTGGCTGGTGTACTTCCCAAGAGAGTTTCATGATTCCTCCCCCTCAAAATACACATAAGTTTTAGTTAATTGTCAGAGGGTCAACTCCCCAGCTTTAGTTTGCTTGGCTCACAATCAACACTCTTGGTACCAGCAGCCAGAAAATCAAGAGACAAACTGCATTGGGAAAGTCAGCTGTCAGGGACCTCTCCAGAGTACTGAAAAGCAACAACGTCAGCCTAGGGACTAAGATGCACCTGATTCAGGCTTCGCAATTGCTTACTATGCATCAGAGAGCAGGACAATGATTAGGGATGATAGAGAATTGATGCCTTTGAGGTGTGGTGCTGGAAAAGAGTATTGAATATACCATGGACTACCAGGAGAACAAACAGGTTCCTCCTAGAGAGGGTGAAGCCAGGCTACTCCTTGGAGACAAGGATTCTTAGGCTTCATCTGATATACTGTGGGCATATTGCAAGGAGGGACCAGTCCCTCGAGAGGGACATCATGCTTGGAAGGGCGGAGAAATGCAGAAAGAGAGGGAGACCTTCTATGAGGTGGACTGATACAGTGACTGGGGTAATGAGGTTAGGTATGTCAGAGACAGTGAGGTTGACACAGGATAGATCAGGTTTTAGGGCTGTTGCACACAGGGTCGCCATGTGAGATGCAAGCTACTCAATGGCACATAACAACAACAACATGAGCAACAGATCAAAACTTTGCCCTAGCCTGCATCACCCTTACTACTCCTACCATGTTCAAGCCCAATGTTGCAGCAATTGTGTCAGTTCATCTTGTGGAAGGTTTTCCTCTCTTCACTGACCCTCTATGTTTCCAAGCACTGACCGGTCTTTATTCAAGGACTGGTGCTTTCAGACAACATGCCCAAGGAATGTGAACTGGACCATCCTTACCTCTAAGGAGCATCCTGGTTGCACTAGTTTAACTTTCACAATTCGCTCACAGAGAAACAAACACAAAAAAGAAAGAGGTTGGAATGAGATGGGGATGCTGGGGGAGAAAGAGGATTCTCTCTTCAGCCTACTTACCAGATGAACTTGTCCTCACTTCCTATCTCAAGAAAATCACAGATCACTGTAGCAACTATTCTGTTGATTCTGATAAGTAATGCACTCATTAGAATTCATTCATCAGCACTGCCAAAGCTCCTAAGCCTAGATGTTTGTCAGAATCTAAAAATATTTCTTTAAAAAATATATATATATATGTGTGTGTATATGTGTATATAATCCTGGGCTCTTCCCCTAAATTCTGATTCACTTAATGTCAAGTAAGACCTGGATATATGATTTTCCAAATAGCACATCAGGTCGGCCATTCATTCAATATTCTCATTCTCTTTACCATCAAGTGGGAAGAGACTCACAGCTGACCCTCTAGCAGGTTTCTTAGGCCATACTTGTACAGAAAGAGACTGCCCATCTACGTCCTGTAGGGCCGCTGGAGGATTCAAATGACCAGAGAGGTGTGATCTGTTAGTTGGCAGTGCAACTCCCGGTAAACTATGCCACTACAATGTTGTGGTTGTTGTTGTTATGCGCCGTCGAGTCACCTGCGACTCATAGTGACCCTATGTACAACAGCCCTAAACTCCGCTCTGTCCTGTGCCAATCGCACTGTCTCTGACACTCCCATCCCAATTATCCCAGTCACTGAATCAATCCACCTCATAGAGGGCCTTCCTCTCCTGCGCCGTCCCTCCACCCTCCCAAGCATGATGTCCCTCTCTAAGGACCTGTCTCTCCTCACAACACACTACACCACTACAATAGAAATCTTAAAATAATAAAGGAAAGAAGAGTACACTTTGTTTCCTTTGTGCTATGCAGTGCTGAGAATTTTACACCCATTACCTATTTACTCCTGACAACTATCTTATTAGAAAGATGTTACTTTTATTTTCAAGAGAAAGGAATTGAGGCACAGAAAAAGTTAAGTAACTTGCTCAAACCTTACTCAAGTCTTTCTGCTCAGTGTAGGTAGTACTGTTTCACTTTCCCTAGTTCAACAGCTGATGCTGATTTGCAAGACCATGTGTTGACAGTTAAGGTAGTTGGAAACCAGAGGCTAAATGGCTAAAAAAGGCAAAGTATATAAACTAAACTACCTTAAAAGAAACAAAAAAACCTACAAGTGGACAATGACAAAGGCGTCAGATAAGGGGAATTAATTTAAGAGCTGAAAAATGGTTAGATTTGAAACAAACAAACAAACCACCTTTTGGGTCTTTTAAAATTTTTTTTAAATTTTTTATTGTATTATTTTTACGTGTACCGTCAAATCAGATCTGACTGGTACAGGAGGAGATTGCCCCCTCCTTCTCCAGCAGAGCATCTGGTGGATTTGAACCGCATACCTCTGGGATTGCAGTGCAGCATCTTGCCACCAGGCCACCAGAGCTCCCTACAAACCACCTTTTAAATAAGTGTAAAGAGTACTTGCTAAAGCTACAGATATGAGAGGTAAGAGCCGTAAGAGAAGCTGAGGATGATTCTGGGGTTGCTGGGAGAAAGTCAAATGCTTTATTTTTTTACATCTTGAGTAGAAAAGCAAGCATAAGTTCACAGAGTGTTGCACTGTTCATCCAAAGGTTGTGAGACTCCAGTGGTTAAAATCCACTGTTGCTCCAGAGGAGAAAGCCGGGAAGTCTCCTCCCATTGATATTTACAGCCTTGGAAACTTGATGGAGAGTCACTATGAATCAGAAGTCAAGGGCAGCCATAAGCGATGCCGTCACAATGCTGTGAGGCTGGATGGGAGGGGCAGACAGTGTTGAGATGATGGCCCAAGCGCAGCTTTTATAAATTGTAATGTTCCAGTTCTTGGTCTTCGCACTGGTATCACAGGCATCCTCACTTAGTGAAATTTTATCATCTGTGAATTTTCTGTATGTTCACCCTTTAGTATGGTTATCGTAGTTCATAAAAAGGTTAAGGGAAAAACATAAAGGTAACTTTATTAGAAGCCAAAAAAACCCAAAAAACAAAAACCCAAAACAAAAAAAAGAAAACCCCAAACAAACAACAATCATCAAGGATAATGGTACCAATAAACTTATAAAAAGTCCAGATCAGAATAATGTAAGAGAATATTGTGATAAAATGCTATCTGCAAAATTCTGGGAATGTGTTTTAGATCAATTAAATAGGTTTTGAAGTGAATAGCATTTCATCATGTAAGATTATAGTGTTAAAGTGTTAAAAACAAAGGGAGCTCTAGTGGCCTAGTGGCAAGATGCTGCACTGCAATCCCAGAGGTATGCTGTTCAAATCCACCAGATGCTCTGCTGGAGAAGGAGGGGACACTCTCCTCCTGTACCAGTCAGATCTGATTTGACGGTATACGTAAAAATAATACAATAAAAAAAATTTTTTTTAAAGTGTTAAAAATGGCCAATTGTGTGTTTAAAGAAAAAAGTTCTTTAACAAACATCTACCAGAGACCTTTTATGTACCAGACACTGACCTGAATTGGGTCAAAAAAAACCAAAACAAAACAAAAAACCAAACAACTTTTCAAGACAGAAAGAGGCACAGAACAAAGTGCTAAAGCACTTCAAGAATAAAACCAGAAAGAGGAAAAGATAAAAGAAACAAAGACAACAGTGAGAACCAACGCATAGCTGAACCTCAGGTGGGTTTCCAGAGGTTCTAAATTGGGCAGAAGGAGACTACTCATCTTTGTCCTGTGAAGCAGCTGGGGGAATTCTAATTGCCTTGGCAAGTATCACATCTCTATTATGGCCAGTAAACCAGGGCAGGAATGGAGGCAGATATGAGGAATAAACTGTGGTTGCTGTTGTTAGGTGCTGCTGATTATAATATGACTCACAGTGACCCCATTCATCCTGAAACTGGCCCTATGCCATCCTCATCATATCTGAGACACTAGAACCCACTGCTGAAGTCACAGTGCCAATCTATCTCACTATAGGGATCTTCCTCTCCTTCAGTGACCCTCTATCTTTCTAAGCATGATATCCCTTTCCAAGAAACAGCCTCATCTAGCTACATGTTCAAAGTATGAAAGATGAAGCTTTGTCATCCTTGCCTCCAAGAAGTACTCTGGCTGCATCCTTCCCAGGACATATCTGTTCTTTTGGCAGTCCATGGGATATTTAGTATTCTTCCCCAGCACCACAACTCAAAGGCATCAATTCTTCTTCTGTCATCCTTATTCATTATCTAGCTTTCTGACATGTAGCAGGTGATTGAGAACACCATGGCATGAATTAAGGCATACCTTACTCTTCAAACTGCCTTCACTGCTCCTCAGTCTGTTAATAGAGAGGTCTCTAACAGAAGACTTGGCCAATGCAGTAAGTCTCCTGATTTCCTGACTGCTGGTACCAAGGGTGCTGACTGTTGTTTCAAACAAAATGAAATAACTGACAGCTTCAATCTTTTCTCCTTCTATCATAATGCTGACTGTTGGACCTGTGATGAGGATCTTTGTATTCTTGATGTCTTCTTGATGTTGAGATGTAATCCATACTGAAGGCTCTAGTCCTTGATCTTCTGCAGCAAGCATTTCATATGCTCCTTACTTTCAGCAAGGAAAATGGTATCATCAGCATAATGCATGCTGTTGATGAGTCTTCCTCCAATCCTGATGTCACACTCCACAGAGTGTGGCTTCATGAATTATTAGCTCAGCATAGATACTGAACAGGTACGAAGAAATACAGCCCAGGCAACATCTTTATCTTAAACCATGCAGTGTTCCTTGCTGCTTCCACAAAAGCTTCTTGGTCTAGTTACAGATTCCATATGAGCACATTTAAGTGTTCTGGGATTCCCATTCTTCTCAATGTGAACTATAATTCGTTATTACACATGCAACCAAATAAAAATATAGGTCAATAAATACGTGAACTTCAGTAGGAAGAAACCCATGTGTAAAGATAAAGGCATGATAGTGCTTGGCAGAGTTTGGAAAGGCTTCCATGACGTAACATTTAAGTTAGGGCCTTGAAGGATTGGTGGATTTGTAGGTGTGTCAAGAAGTGCAGACTTCGAGGTCAGACAGGCGCAGAGTACTGAGGAATCGCGCAGAAATTTGTCCTGACTTGAACATGGGGAGTGCATGAGATTGTGAGTGAGCTAATGATAGAGAGACCTTAGGGAAACGGATCTCGGGCTGGAGACCCAAGGGTCTCTAACTGTTGAAAGTAATAAATATGACACAGAGGTTAGGAACACAGATTGTTCTAATTACTAGCTGATTGACGTGGGAACTCATTAGAGTTCCGGTTTCCCCGTGTGTTAACATGGAATTAATAACAGTTTTTATCTAGTGCTTGGAAGGACTAAATTACTGAGTGCATGTTTTTGTTCAGTAAAGGCTAAGTAAGAATGCATCTTCATCACAAACATTACTAGGTCAAGCCTCGCGCAATGCACCCTATTTTCCGAGGAGTGCTCACGACCTCCATGCTAGGGTTTGGGAACAAAGTTGACAGTGTCCAGTTCCCGTCCATGGCAGTGTCCACTCCTCGTCCACCGCTCTTTCAGGCCCCAGAACCCTCCTCCAAAAGGAGGCAAGGTCTGGCGGGCAGAGGCGGCCTCTCACCTGGACTAGGCTCCCTCTCCTCGTCCTCCGCTGTCCCGCGAGCCGTGAAGCCGGGCGGGAGCGCCGGCCCGATCAGATCCCGGGCCATCCGCAGTGGCGAAGCCTACGGTGCACACAGAGCTTTCCACGCAGGGTGGAATCTAATCAACAGGCAGTCCGCGAATCGGCCGCCAAGACCGGAAGTTTTTCCGGTGCCTACATATGACGTATCAGCCTGTGATTGGCTGTTCCATCCACTCCGCGACAGAGGAAGTGACGTTTAAAGTTTGTTCCATTGAAACTTACAAGATCAGACTGGCGGCTTAACGTGGTTGAACCAGGTAGTGGTTTCATGATTCCTTCCGGATGGTTTCAACCCCCTGAGCTGACTCCTATGTTGAGACCTCTCAGTGACGCTGATTCGATGCCGAACAACTGGATGCTCTGGGCAACGAGGCCGCCGCCGCCTCCTTCCACAGCCGGATCAGTTTTTTTCTCCGAGGCCCCGGTACACCCCGGGGCGCCGCCCCCCTTCGACACTCAACTGCTTCCCGGAGCCCAGGCCCCTCTCGATACTCAGCCTCAACTTAACGTCCAGCCTTCCTGGAATTACCAAGCCTCTTCCCCGTGGTACTGGAGATCTGATTCTTTTCCTCAGCACCATAGTTACCACAACCCTGGTAGGTTACTGTTCATTTCTCCTTTTCTCGTCTTCCCTCACCCTTGGAATCTGAGCGTTGATTCCCCACACTATGTTCGACTGAAATATTTTCCCCACCTGTTTATTTGGTTTTGCAGATATTTATTGTATTTCTGTATACCAAACACTGAGAATGTATTAGTGAACAAAGTTAGAAAAGTTCTTACCTTTATGGATTGTAACATTGCTGGGGAGATAGACAATAACCAAAAAAATTTATAGGTTCTATTAGAGGGTTTTTTTGTTGTGTACAGTCGAGTCGGGACGACTCATAGCTGACCCTCTAACAGGAGTTGATTACTCGGCTTTATCCCGCCGTGCAGCTGGTGGTTTCGAACTTGATGCTTTTGGGTTGACAGCGCATTTCCTTATCAACAGGCCACCACGGCTCCCTACTAGATGGTAAATAACGGTATGAGAAGAGATGAGTTAGTTAAGAATGGTAGGGATGATCTCATAAGGAAGATGACATTTCAATAAAGACATCAGGAATCAGACCTATGGGTATACCCGGAGAGAAAGGGATTTAGGCGTGTATAAAAGCCTGGATACAGATGATGTAAACTATAATGGAGAAAACCATTGTGGCTCAAGAGGACAAAAGATAAAGAGGGCCAACCTCTAAGGGCTTTGTAGAATGTTAATGGAACTTTTACATGCGTGAGATGGGTACCCATTGACAAATTTGTTGTAAAAGAAGTGACATGATTTATTTTGTAAGAGGATTAATGTGACTCGTGTGCTGAAAATTGACAGTATGGGAGACAATGAGATGACTCTGATTATCCAAGTGAGAGGTAGAATCAGGAAAGAGTTCTGGAAGTGATAAGAAGTCAGACTAGATCTGAAATAATTTGCTAAAGGATTCTATGTGGTAGGGCAAGAGCTAGAGATAAGGATGGCTTAAAGTATTTTGCCAGACAGAAGGAACTGAGGTGGGAGAAGAATGGGAATCAAACAGATTTGGAAGGGAAGATCAGGAGTTGGAATTTGGAATATGTTAGTGTCAAGTAGAGCTATTGGCTTTTAGCTGGGAGTTTGTACGTTCAAGCAAGATGTGTATGGAGTTACAAATTTGAGTGTTGTCAGATATATTGTTGTTAGATGCTGTTAAGTGAAAACTGACCCAAAGCTGCTCCAGTGGGTTTTTTCAGAGGCCGTAAATTGCATGGGAGAAGCTTGCCCATCTTTCTCCCACAGAGCAGTTCCAACGAGTCACAATACAGTGGTGTTATTCCGACTGCAGAGGAAATTGTGGGAAACTTTTGGAAGAAATCTCTTAGGAGATTTGTATGATTTGAGGAGATACTTACATGTAGAAGTAAAGATATGTTAATACGGGGTGAGTTCTTTAGACTCCCGCCAGGGTTCCAGTGTGATTGAGAGGGCAGAGATAGTTGTGGTGGTGGTGGTGGTGGTTGTTGTTAAGTGCCGTCGAGTCACAGGCGACTCATAGCAACCCTAGGAAGGAGAGTCCTCGACGCTTGGAGTTGTGGTAGTGGTAGTAAAATTCTCTCTGGCTGTATAAGAGACTTGGGTATGATTACCACCTGTCAGCTCCCATTCATTGCTGTTGAATCAGAGGCTATAAATCATAATGGGAGGAGACTGACCAGCTTTCTCCCTTGGAGCAGCTGGTGGATTCCAACTGTCAGAGACACAGCCATTTGGTTAGCAGCACAACGATACCTTCAGAGCAGTCAGCAGTGAAGTTCAGCAAAAGTTTGTGTTGCTGTGATGCTCAGCACTCTTCAGTAGAGATTCAGACTAAGACTAAGAAGAAAGGTTTGTCAGTCTGCTTCTGAACATTGGTCAGTGAGAGCCCTATGATCAGAATGGTCCGATCTGCAGTGAATCATGCGGATGTCGGCAGCACTGAGCAGCACTGACTCCTTGTGTGTGAGATTGCAGTGAGAGATGGGGACAGCTTGACTGCAGCTAATGGGTATGAGTGAATTAGAGTATGTGGAAGGTACAGGTGCGGACAAGAAGGGTAAGAAAATAAACTGGAATCTCAAAAGACTCTCTAGGAAGCATTTACAGATTTTTGGACAGGGTAGTGACATGATTGGAGACTGTATATGTGGTGTCACTTCAGAGTCATTTAGAAAGGAACAGTCCTAAGAACTGGCAGCCTATCTAGGAGACATAGAGTAATCTAGGCAGAAAATCAGAGATTCCAAGTCGAAGGAAGACAGTGATAATAGAAGCAAAGGGATTTTTGAGATATCTTTTACAAGATTGTATTTTCCTGGTTTAAGATTGATGCTGGAAGACCTATATCACATAGTTCTTGTTTGGATTTTAATATTTTAAATAATTGCAAGGAATTGTATGCCATTCGATTGCCTCTCTCTGTAGTTGAATACTTAAATAGGGACATAGACTCTTAACGATAGTTATTGAGTTGGAAAATATTTAGTAAACAAGGCTAGTCTTTGTTAATTTATTTTAATTTGAACTACGCTCTTCCTGGAAGAACTAGTTTAGCAATGTTTTTATTCTGGTATTTAACATTTCTGTGGTAAGTAAAATTTCATGTATGGTGCAAACACTAATGCATCTCTTTTTGGTGGTTTTTGTTTGGTTTTGTTTTTTTTAGCTCAGCGTTCTTTTTTCCCACGAAAATATGATGCAAATGGCAGTGATTTCAACTTTACTTCGAATAAGACGCAAAACAAAAAGGTATTTTTAAAAGATTCTCTTGACTTTGACAGTCTGATCTCTATGTCATGTTCTTTTAGTTCTGTCATTAACTATCTTAGTGTTTTGCATAATGGTTAGTGGTCAGGGAGCGTTTTATAACAGGGTCTTATTTGAATGTGAAAGCTTCAAACAAAATCTGTTAAGAAAAAAATAGAGAATTTGTATTAAAATTTTTTTTTTCCATTTCAGTGTAGACTTGAGTAAAATATTATGATTTCAGATCATTGTAAATGTTGTTAACTGATAAAATACTGAGTAGGTATAATGTCTGAAATGATTCTGAGTGGGAAGATTTTTTTTTCTATGTTATTTGCATTGTTTATATTATTTTTGTTTACCCTCAACACTGAAATGTTATGCAACTCATGGTTGCTGTGAAGCTGAACACTGACACTGATGTGTCAAATGCGATAAAAATTACCCATGGTGGACAGTGTTTGGTGGAGCTCCCTGATGAAAACAAGCTTGGAAGCAGGAGTGGCATCTACTTCTGAAATAGCTTGGAGAAAGGATGAAAGTTATACAAGTGTCCAGGGCTTTTGTTTGTAGTGTTGTTATGAGTCACCTACAACTCAATACAACTCAGTGACACTTAACAACAACAAGCTGTTGAAGATCAATTCCTATAGTATGTAATAGTAAGAATCTTTATTGTTTTATGTTAAACCATAAAAATAGTAAATTGGAGGATTAAGAAATAGCTAATCTTATCCTAATGTTTCTGTTTTTTTTTAATTTTTATGTTGTTTCTAGAGATACCTGTTATAGTTATTTCCCCTAAGAATTTAAGTACTATTTCTTTTTAGTTCATTTGGACATACACTGTACTAAATCTACACTAAATTAACACTTTGAAATTTTCTCAAAGAGTTTATATTAGATCTGCTTGATAATTTTAAATTATCGTCTTGTCTGTCTTTTCCTTAATATATTTCCTGTAAAAAAAGAAACAAAAATATCCCTTCATTAGAAATGTGTTTGGAAGTTTCTCCTGAATATAAGGGTTGTCTGGAAAGTCAAATTGCATGTGCCAGATGGATAGTTGTATTTTTATCCTTAGTTGAAGAAAAGCCTAATGCCTTTCTATTTTTGTTTGCAGAGAAAAAAGGAGCCAGTTTTTCACTATTTTTGTGATACCTGTGATCGTGGTTTTAAAAATCAAGAAAAATATGATCAACACATGTCTGAACATACAAAAGTAGGTGTTCTTTTTGTTGGTTATGCTAGCATTTGTTCAGAAAACTAGCCTTCTGACTGTAAATTTAGTAGAATTTCCAAACTTTCCCCCTGCTCTTTAGTTTTCATAGAAATGTTTAATGACTTGATCATTTGGGACAGTGACACTGGGTTTTACAGTTTGAGAGCTAGGTAAGATGTTAGATAGCTATAAATAGGTATGGCTTCTGCTTGTATGGGTGCTGCTGCTGCTGCTGCTTCAGAGCCCTGGCATTCCCTTCCAGTTGCCCTCTGCACCTTTATGATTTCCTTCCCCTGTAAGGCTGCCCTTCACCATTTTGCCAGATGTCACGGTAATGTCATGGCCAATTATTGGCTAAAGATGGTGCAAACTAAATTAAGGAAGGCTTATCCCTGAGTGGTATATTCTAGTTACATTAGGTTAGTAAACCCAAAGGTTGGAGGTTCAAACTCTCTCTCACCAGCACCACAGAAGAAAGGCTTGGCAATCTGTGTCCCTTCGGCCAATAGGCAACATAGGATAAACAGAAAAGATGGATAATAGATGGAGAAAAGATGGAAATTGTCAAAAAAAAAAAAAAAGATGGAAATTGTCATTGACTTCATTTTACTTAGATACACAGTCGTTGCCCTTGGTAACCAGCAGTCAAGAAATCAAAAGACTGATTGCATTGGAAAAGTCTGCTATCAGGGACTTTGCAAAGTACTGAAGAGCAGTGATGTCAGTGTGAAGACCAAGGTGTGCCTGATTCAATCCAGAGCTTTTCAATCACTTGCTGTGCATCTGAGAGCTGGGCAAGGAAAAAAGATGACAGAATAAGCATTGATACTTTTTAAAAAATTATTATTAATTTTAATGAAAATTTACAGAGATTTTGGATTTCCATTCATTCATTGTTGCATTTTTCTCCTTGTCCACCCATCCCCTCTAGTTGTTCTTCTCTTTGAAAAGTTGTTGTTGTTATGTGCCATTGAGTTGCTTGCGACTCATAACGACCCTATGTACAACAGTCCTAAACTCTGCTCTGTCCTGTGCCAGTTGCACTGTCTCTGACACTCCCATCCCGATTACCCCAGTCACTGAATCAGTCCACCTCATAGAGGGCCTTCCCCTCCTGCACTGTAAAAGAAAAATTCTTTGATTGTTATACAGTCCCTCCCCCCAAGTCTACTCCACTATGCAGCCTTCATTCTGGATTCCTATCATGATAATAATACCTAATCATATATCCCTTTTAAACAGTTCTCTTCTCTCATCTGTTTCAATGCAGTAGACATCATTTATCCCATCTTTCTCAGTCACCCCCTACCCTTATGTCAGTCCCATTTTACAGCAGTGGCACTATGCAGTATCTGTCCTTCTGTGACTGAGATATTTTATTCAGCATAATGTTCTCCAGGCTTCCCCATGGTGTGCATGCATTGATACTTTTGAGTTGTGTTGGAGACGAGTACTGGATATTCCATAGACTGTAACAATGTCAAGTCATTCAAAAGAACAAACAGATCTGTCTTAGAGAAGGTGCAGCCAGAGTACTCCCTAAAGGCAAGAATATGGAGCTTTGTCTCACATACTTTGGGCATGTTGATAGAAGGGATTATTCTTGGAGAGGGATATCATGCTTGAAAAGGTGGAAGATCAGCAAAAAAAGAGGAAGACCCTCAGTGGGATGAGTGTACAGCGGTGGGATCTAGTATGTCAGACATGATGAGTATGGCCCAGGCTAGAACAGGATCCAGAACTACTGTTCATCACGTCTCTGAGTCATACTCAGCTTGATAGGACATAACAAGATTCCGTAAGAACACTTTATAGAGCACATCTGGATGTTACATAGGATCATGATGAGTCAATGGCGGCAAATGAAACTTTATTATTTTACAACATTGCTTATGTTGTAGTGTTACTCAGATAAGGAGATCCCCTGTCATAGTGTGTAGATGGTGCCGACCAAAAGCCTGTCTCCATCAGTTTGAATCCACAGGTTTCTCCTCTGGAGATGGATGGATGATGGGGTCCTCAAATCCTCCTCTTTTTAAAACGTACAGCCTTGTAGACCTGATGAATGGTTGCTGTGAGTCAAACCAACTCAAAGATGGGAATTTTGATTTTGATCAGTTTTTATTCAACTGGAAAAATGAATTCCATGTATTACAGTACTGCCTATTTTGGGAATGCCATCCCTTTTTAAATGCTGCATTATTTTGTAACATTCTTTATTTTGCTAATAGTATAAGGATTCAGTGCTTATACCATGTAGGTGTGGTAGTTGTGTAAATTTACCCAGAATATATCTTTATATTTAGTAGTACCATTTATCTAACTCAGAAAATAAACATGAAAAATAAGATTAATATTTATTTTTTTATAAAACTCTTACAGTGCCCTGAAGTAGATTGCTCTTTTACTGCGCATGAGAAGATTGTCCAATTTCATTGGAAAAATGTAAGTTCTCTGCTTATATCTTTGTTCTGTCTTTTCTTGGTACATGGTGTCTGGTGCCCTACTGGTAAGGAGTCGCATTGCCAGCCCTCAGACACATGGTTCAAATCTACCAGCTACTCCATAGGAGAAAGATGAGAAGTCTCTTCCTGGGCAATTTACTGCCTCTAAAAACTCACTGGAGGGTCAGCTATGAGTCAATTCCGACTCAGTGGAACTTAACAACTTTTTATGCCACTGATCTTCTGACTTGTTACGTATTTTCGAGTTGATGGTAACTCAGCGATCCTATGAACAACAGGTATGAACCTTGCCAATCTTCTGCCATGTTCACCATCTCCAGTGTACTTGAGCTCAGTGTTACAGTAACTGTGTCAGCCGTCTTGTTGAAGGTCTTCGTCTTTTGTACTGACCATCCAGTTTTCCAGGCATGATGTTCTTCTCCAAGGATTGGACCTGCTAACTGTGCATCCTTTATTTACAAATAGTAACAATTGTGGAGTACTGTAGTTTTAAAGGCATTTTCATATCTTTTTATTCTCACGAATGGCTGTGTGAAGTAGATGGATACTTGCCCTCATTTACCAGATTTTAAAAGAAAGAAAGGTCTGTCTTAAAGCTTCAGAATTGAATCTGGGCATGGGTGACTTGCCAGTTGTGTACTCATGTTTCTAAAGCATTCTCCTTCAGATAGTTAACATGTAATCATTAAGTCTTTAGCTACCTCCTTCAGTTTTGATTGGTAGGTCATATATTTGAGTATTTGATATCATTTGAGAAAAAGGATGATGTCACTTTTGTAACCAAATACATGTTGCCTTTTTCCCCCCTCTATCAAGTACCTTTAGCCTAAGTAAAACTCATAATAAAATCTGCATACTTATATTTTGTTTGAAAATGATCTCTGCTGCTAAATTTAGCATTGGGCACAAAGTTTCTGTTATCCTCTGGAGTACTTAGTTTAATCAAAAGCATGTTGTCGGAAATATTCTTGATGCTCAGCTGGCTGTTCTTCCTAGATGCATGCTCCCGGCATGAAGAAAATCAAGTTAGACACTCCAGAGGAGATTGCACGATGGAGAGAAGAAAGAAAAAAGTGAGTAAATGGTTCTGTGAAGTAGCTCTCCTACTGTGTCAAGACTGGGTGCTTCCAAATGATGATCTTTCTGCCCCTAAGGAATAATTAAAAAGATAAATTTGCTCTTTTCTAAGTTTGCAAATATTCAGTTACCTAACTGCAATTTTAAATTTACTGTTCTTCAGAATTGGTAAAATCTGACTTTGAAAAGTGTTAATATTTGCTGGCTTAAGAAGAGTTTCATGGGGGAGCTCTGGTGGCCTAGTGGCAATGAGCTGCAACTACAATCCCAGAGGCGCACGGTTCAAATCCACCAGATGCTTTGCCGGGGAAGGAGGGACAATCTCCTCCTGTACCAGTCAGATCTGATTTGACGGTACACTCACACAAAAGTAATAAAGTAAAAAAAAAAGAAGAGTTTCGTGAATGTTATTTTGCTTCATTCAATTCCTTTATAATGTTTATAGTAGCGAATGGGATCATAAGCTATATATATGTGACCATTATTCAAATTAGTTTGAGGACTAAAGTGTTCCTGAGTTAGGCCATGGTCTTTTTTTGGTCACCTGCTATGCATCTGAGAGTTGGACAGTGACTAAGGATGACAGAAGAAGAATTGATGCCTTTGAACTCTGGTGTTGGAGAAGAGCACTGAATATCCCATGGACTCCAAAAGAACAAAGAGATTTGTCTTGGAGAAGGTGCAGCCAGAGTGCTTCGTGGAAGCAAAGATGAGAGAGCTTCATCTCATATACTCTGGGCATGTTGCTAGGAGTGGTTTTTCCTTGGAGAAGGATGGAGGGTCAGCAGAAGGGTTGACTGCAGCAGTGGGCTCCAGTGTGTTGCAGAGTTCAGATGGGGTGTTCATAGGGTTGCTATGAATCATACTCTATTCAACAGCATCTAACAACAAAAACAACACCTGTTGATTGTACTCTTTTCTCATTGTTTTACAGAGGAAAAAATCAGAATTAGACCACTTACTGTCTAATACTTAGTGTATTTTTGGTTGGGGTTTTTTTTTTCCCGTTTGACCCATTTACATTTTTTTTTTCTTTCAAGTAAATTATTAAATGTTATTGTTGATGTTGTTGATTGCCTTCTAGTAGAGCAGGACTCATTGCGACCCCATGAACAAAAAGGCCTGAAGCCCCTCTACAACTATCGACATTCATGAAAGTTCATAGAGTTTCCAGAGTCATGTTATTTAGGAAGTGGATGCCACTCCTGTTTTCAAACCTGTCATAGTATGTTTCTGTTCTTATGTGCCATTCAGTTGCCTGCGATGTATAGCGACCCTATGTACAGCAGCTCTGAACCCTTCCCTGTCCTGAGCCAGTCTCACTAATTCCGACATACCAACCCCCATCACCCCAGTTACTGTATCAATCCATCTCATCCGGGGTCTCCCTCTCCTACACTGTCCATCTACCCCTCTGAGCATGATTTCCTTCTCCAAGGACTGATCTCTCCTGGCCATGTGCCCAAAGTAAGTGAGGCAGAGCTTCAAAATCCTAGCCTCCAAGGAAAGACTTGGTTTCACCCTCTCCAAGACAGACCTATTTGTTTTCTTGGCAGTCCAGGGTATGTTCACGACTCTTCTCCAGCACCACACCTCAAAGGCATTTATTCTTCTTCTGTCATCCTTAGTCATTGTCCAACTCTCTGAAGCATAACAAGTAATTGAGAAGACCATGGCCTGGGTTAGGTGCACCTTTGTCTCTAGACCGACATTGCTGCTCTTCAGTACTCTGGAGAGGTCCATGACAACAGATTTTCCCAATTCATTTTGTCTTTTGATTTCCTGACTGCTGGTGTTAAGAGTGTTGATTGTGGATCCAAGCAAGCTGTTATTGCTATCAACCTCAATCTCTTCTCCATCTAATATGGTGCTGTCAATTGGCCCAGTGGTGAGAATCTTTGTCTTGATGTTGAGCTTCAATCCATATTGAAGACTACAGTCCTTGACCTTCTGCAGCAAGCGCTTCAGGTCTTCATGTTTTAGCAAACAAGGTTGTGTCATCTGCATACTGTAGGTTGCTGATGAGTCTTCCTCCAGTCTTGGTGCCACAATCCTCCTCATAAAGCCCTGCTTCCCAAATGATCTGTTCTGCATACAGATTGAAAAGGTATGGGGACAGGATGCATCCTGATCCACTACTTTCCTGGTTTTGAACCATGCAGTGTTTCCTTGTTCTGTTCTGAGGACTGCTTCTTGGTCCAAGCATAAGCACAATTAAGTGTTCTGAGATTCCCATTTTCCTCAAGGTTAGCCACAGTTTATTGTGATCCACACAGTCAGGTGCCTTTGCATAGTCAGTGAAACACAGATAGACATTCTTCTGGTATTCTCTGCTTTCTGCCAAGATCCATCTGACATTGGCAATACTATCCTAGTACCACGACTTCTTCTAAACCCAGCTTGTATTTCTGGTAGTTCTTTGTCAATGTACTGTTCAAGTCTTTTCTGGATAATCTTCAGCAGGATTTTGTTAGTGTATGATGTTGTTTGGTAATTTCCACACTCTGTCATGTCATCTTATTTTTGAAATGGGAAGAAATATGGATTTCTTCCAGTCAGTTGGCCAAGTAGTTGTCCTCCAGATTTCTTGGCATAACTTGGTGAGCACATGCAGGGCAGCATCTGTTTGCTGAAATACATCGATTGCTATTCTATCAATTTTTGGGGCTTTATTTTTTTTGCCAAGTCCTTCAGAGCAGCCGGCAGCTCATATTCTTAGGACTCAAGGTCCAGATTGTGGGTCTCTCTTTGCCACTGCATAGTGGTAGTGGGGTGCAAACTGCAATGACCAGAGTCAAGGTAGGGCAGGCCTTTAGAAAATTTCTTCCCCTCTTTGGCACAGTATTATTAGTGGAAAGGAGTGCGGTTGAACTTCTAACCAAAGGAGTCATTATGCTTAGAGCAAAATCTCTAGGAAAAGTTTCGTTAGCAATAGTAGTAGCTGTTGGATTCAGATCTAAAGGAAAGATTAGAATGATTCAGCCAGTTAGTGTGAAAGTTGGAGACAAAGTTGTTCTCCAACAATATGAAGACATCAGAGTAGTTTTGATGGCAGACATTATTAATTTTTAGAGATAGTGACATTTAGGGGAAGTATGTAGAATGAAATAAATCACTACTGAAATGGCAGCAAGTGAAGTTGCCCTGGACTCTAACTGGAAACTCCTGAAAGTTTGTAATCTTAACTTACTTTTTATGGATTTTTTTTTTTTTTTTAAGCTCTTCATACTGTACATTCTCCCCATCCCCCCTTTTTTTTAATTCAGTGTTGGACATTTTCTTTTCTCCTTTTTTTCCTCCCCAGCTCACCCTGCAACACATCTGTTACTCCAGATTGTTTTCATACATATAATGCCTAATCATATATTCCTTTCAGACATTTTTTTCTCCTCATCTGTTAGAATGCAGTGTTCATTATTTTTTTCCCCGTTCTCTCCCCAACCTTTCCCCATCTGTCCTATTTTGTAACAGCGGTGTTATGCAGTATTTGTCCTTTTGTGACTGAGATATTTCACTCAGCATAATGTTCCTCAGGCTTCCCCATGTTGTGTAATGTTTTATGAGTGCTGCATAATATTCCATTGAGTGAATATACCATAGTTTTTCTATCATTCATTTTTGATGGGGTACTTGGGTTGCTCCCCTCTCTTCTATTGTGAATAATACAGCAATAAACATGAGTCTGCTTGTTTGAGCTGTGGTTTCAGTTTGGTTTCTTTAGGGTATATTCCCAGTGTGGAATTGCTGGGTCAAATGGTATTTCCAACTTTTTGAGAAAGCACTTGACCATGTTCTTCAGTTGCTGTACTATTTTACACTCCTGCCAGCAGTGGATAAGAGTTCCAATCTCTCCAGTTGGCTGCCCTGTTGAGCTTTGCTATTGTTGCTGAATGAGATGATATTTCACAGTTGATTTGATTTGCATCTCTCTGATAGGTAGGAATTTTGAAGATTTCTTCCTGTGTTTGCCATTTGAGTGTCGTCTTTGATGAAGCATCTGTTTATTCCAGTGCCCATTTTGTGATTGGTTTCTTTACCTTTTTCTTATTGAGGTGCTGTGATATTCTATTTATCTAAAAATCTGTATCTAAATTTTAGATATAAGTCCTTTATCAGATATGTCACTGCCAAATATTTTTTCCCAGTCTCTGGAGAAGTTTTTTGCTGTACATAGGGATTTGATTCTTAGAAGGTCTCATTCACCTATTTTATTTTCTCTTGGTTGAGGGGCTAAGTCTTTTAGTACTGCGACTATATATTCCTTCCATCTACTTTTGATGCTTTCTGCATTTGTTTTAAAATTTTGCACGTAGAATCTTCAGTATTGTAACTTGGGTTTCAGATTTCGGTCTTTGGAGGTTTCTTTTGTTTTCAGTTCTTTCAGCATAGATTTCTGACTCCAGATCTTTACCCATTTTATAATAAGCATTTATTTTGTCCTTTCAAGCTGACTTTTGAATTCTTTTCAGCTCTTCATTTTTTCCTTTTGCTTTAGTTGCTCTATTTTCTAGAGCGAACTTTCAAGCCTTGGTTGGGTTTGGTTTTTTGTTTTTTTTTTATTCTTTTCTATCTTTTTAATGACTTTTTGCTTTCTTCATGTGTGATAGTCTTTATATCATCCCACAGCTCATAATTATCAATCCTTAGTGTTCAGTGTTTCAGATCTTTTCTTGAGATAGTTTCTAAATTCAGGTGAGCTATATTCAAGGTTGTATTTTGCTGCTGCTTGTTGTTGTTGTTGATTGCTTTTGAGTCAAGCACGACTCATAGTGACCCTATAAACAGAAGGCCTGAAGCCTCTCTACAACTATCGACATTTATCAAAGTTCATAGAGTTTCCAGTGGCGGGCATGTTATTTAGGAAGTGGATGCTACTCCTGCTTCCAAACCTGTCATAGCATATTATTGTTGTTATGTGCAATTGAGTCGCCTGTGGCCTCTTAAAAATTTTCTTCTACTTTATAAATTATATAGAAGCAGTTGACTGTTTCATAGTCAGCATGACTAATGCTACTGAGCTGCTTTTTTTAAAAAAAATTTTTTTAATAATTTTAATGAACATTTACAGAGATTTTAGATTTCCATTTATTGTGTTGTTGTTATGTGCAATCGAGTCATTTGCGACTCATAGTGACCCTATGTACTACAACAGCCCTAAACCCTGCTCTATCCTGTGCCAATTGCGTGGCCTCTGACACACCCATCCCGATTACCCCAGTCACTGAATCAATCCACCTCATAGAGGGTCTTCCCCTCCTGCGCTGTCCCTCCACCCTCCCAAGCATGATGTCCCTCTCCAAGGACCTGTCTCTCCTTACAACATGTCCAAAGTATGTCTGACGAAGCCCCAGAATCCTTGCTTCCAAGGAATAGCTTGGTTTAACCCTCTCCAGGATGAATCTGTTTGTTTTCTTGGCAGTCCTGGGTACATTCAATACTTTTCTCCAGCACCACAGCTCAAAGGCATCCATTCTCCTTCTATCTTCCCTAGTCATTGTCCAACTCTCTGATGCATAACAAGTGATTGCAAAGGCTATGGTCTTTGCAATTGCTTGCTGTGCATCAGAGAGCTGGGCAATGACTAGGGATGATAGGAGAATTGATGCCTTTGAGCTGTGGTGTTGGAGAAGAATATTGAATATACCATGGACTGCTAAGAGAATGAACCGGTTTGTCCTTGAGAGTGTGAAGCCAGGCTGCTCCTTGGAGGCAAGGATTCTGATGCTTTGATTGACATTCTTTGGACCAGTCCTTGAAGAGGGATATCATGCTTGGAAAGGTGAAGGGACAGTGGAGCAGTAGTGACAGGGGGAAATGGGAGTAGATGTGTCAGAGACAATAAGATTGGCACAGGGAGAACATGGTTTAGGGCTGATGTAGGGTCGCGATAAGTTGCAGGCAACTCAACAGCATATAACAACATATATTCATAGAAACATAAATGGAATCATACAGTTTGTCTTTTGACCCTGACTTTTCCACTTTATGTGGTAATTATTTCTTGTTATTGCCAAATAGTAGTCTGTTCCATTACATGGCCTCTTTGTATATTCATTTCTAAGTCAGTGGATATTTGGGTTTTCTTCATTGCAGGTGATTATAAATAAATCCTCTGGAAACATTTCCACGTAAGTTTTAGCTTTAAACATAGAATTTTTTTACTTGACTTGAACAAATCTTCGAGTATGAGTGATATGCCATATGATGGTTGTTATATGCCATCAAGTCTCCTGCAACTCATAGTGAACCTATGTACAACAGCTCTGAAGCCTACCCTGTCTTGAGCCAGTCACACTGACTCCAACATACCTACCTGCATTGCCCCAGTTAATGTATCAATCTATCACATCTGGAGTTTTCATCTCCTGTTCTGTCCCTCCTCCCTTCTGAGCATGATGTCTTTCTCTAAGGACCGATCTCTCATAGCCATGTGCCGAAAATCTGTGAGATGGAGCTTCAAAATCCTAGGAGATGGAGCTTCAGAATCTGTGAGATGGAGCTTCAATATCCAACGAGAAACTTGGTTTCACCTACTCTAAGACAGACCTGTTTGTTTTCTTGGTCATCCATGGTATGTTCAAGACTCTTCTCCAGCACCACAACTCAAAGGCATCAATTCTTCTGCCATCCTTAGTCATTGTCCAGCTCTCTGATGCATAGCAAGTAATTGTGAAGACCATGTCTCAGATCAGGCACACTTTAGTGTCTAGCATGACATATCTCTTATCTAGTGGAAAGAAGCTGAATCCCAAAGGCACCTGGTTTGAGTCCACCAGTTGCTCTGTGGAAAAGGATGGGCAGTCTTCTCCCATGAGATCAACTGCTGCTGAAAACCCACGGGATGGTACATAATACAACACACACCTTGAGGCATAAGGTAGACTTGATACAAGTCATGTCGATTAGTATATACTTAACTTCATACAAGTTTGCCAAACTTTTTAAGAAGGATGTGCTTCAATATGCCATGATTGGACATGAAGCCTTCAAATTAAATGGAATAGCTAGGGTGCTGTAGTGCCCTGCACCAGTCAGGACTGTTTCAGTACAAGAGACAGCAGCCATACTGTCATGGTTTAATACAAAGTCAACGTTTCCAGGATTTAAAAATTTAACCTACTCAGTACTGTCATTGTTGTTATGTACTGTTTAGTTGGAACTGACCCACAGCTGAACCTCCATCAGGTTTTCAGCGATAGTAAATCACACAGAAGCAGATTATCCATCCTTCTCCCACAGAGCAACCTGTGGATCCGAACTGCATTCCTTTGGGTTGGCGGTGCAACTCCTTATCAGCAAAACAACTCAGTAATGTCAGTAGGCACAGACACTCTTGGTGCACCTTTGACAAGCTTTATATATTCTTGCCACATGATCTCTGCATATCTAAAAAAGCCCACTATTGAACAGAGGAGAACAGGAAAGAAAAGATAAATGCCTGGTTTCTTTGGGAAAGCAGTATCTTGGTTTTAGCCCCACCTAAGAGACTTTCATGTAGATCTCATTGGCCCAAAGTGTGTTCCATTGCTGCTTTTTGCTCTAGAGGAGTCTGTGGAGTGTCCCAAACAAAATTGTTAAGAAGAGCATAAAAGACAGCAGTGGGTGCCACAAGGTCACAGGAGATACAAGTCTGACAGCCCAAGTTGTCTCATTGGCTGTCAGATTTGTGACTTTGATCTTTCTCTCTTATGATTATTTAATGCTTACTTACTCCTCCTCTTTTATTTATGAAATTGGTTTCTGTCCTCATAGAAATCTGTTGCCATTTTTCCTGAGCACATCACCACTTGCTGTCATTTCTGTTCTTGTCTTCTAGTTTGATTTTATACTGTTTTCATATCCTTCTTGTCAGTGTGAGGTAGATAGTGAGACATTTAGGGGTGTCCTAGAAATACCGGCAGAACACCGCCTCTCTTCTAATGAGCAGCAGATTGAGCAGTAGTGGGTTCCTTCTGCCCTCTGCTGTGTATTTAATACCTTGCACCACCAGAGTTTGGTGCCAGCATCCCCTCACAGCTGTGGCAGACAGCACAGAAAGCTTTGTCTAAGCAATCTGTTTTGCATACTCCTGTCTTTTAACTTGTTCATTACTCTCAATGGCTTTCCTCTACCTGCTGAATTTAGTCACAGACTTCCTCGACTGGCCTGCAGAGTACCTTTTGGCTTCATCGTGTCTTTCTGACCAGTAACTATGAGGGAAGTTTGTACACAATGGTCATTTGGCCATTGCTGGAGTCTGTTGCAGACTCTCTGGGACCTTGGCTTTTTGCCTTACTCAGAACACCTGGAAACTTTCCCAGCTGCTTTCTGTTGACCTCCTGTGCCTTTTTTAAAGATCAGTTTCTTTTCATGTCCTGCTTTTTCTGGATTTCTCCAGCTAGATGTGATCTCAGCCAATCTTTGTTTCTTTTTAGCACTTAAATTATATTTTGCCCCATGTTAAATATGTTTTGTGTGCTTTCCTTATATCCTTCTGGTTGATTGTAACTTCTTTGAGGAGCACTGCATTTTCCTCATCTTTGTAACTTTGTAAGTGTCTGTTGTGTTTTTATAAGCAGTTGAATCCACAGAAAAATCTGCTGCCCCTCTCTAGTCAATTCAGGCTCATAATGACCTTATAGAACAGACTAGAACTGTCCGGTGGGGTTTCCAAGGCTATGACCTAGATGAAAGGAAATTGATTCATCTTTTCCACTTGAGCATCTGGTGGATTTGAACCATAGACTGATTAGCTGCCTAGTATGTGACCTTCGAACCATCAGGGCTGTGTGAGTAATTGACTTGGATTTTCCCTTACGTTGTTCACCAAACACCAAATAGAGAAACTGATTAAAGCAATTGCTTTGTCCAAGTTGTGAAATGCTGTCAAACAATTTCAGTCAATTTCGCCATTTTTCCTTGTCTTAGAACAAACTGAGATTAAGGTGACAGGACTTTTTTCTTGACCAGAAATAGAAAATGTGCAGGAACTTGTTCTTTTCCTGGCACTTAAGAAGTCCACATTCATACCTAGTTTATCACTCTCCCCCCACCTATATGTATTTTAAGAAGTGAAGATGAGAAGTGGATAGCATGATGCGGGGTAAGGCTGTTCAGAGACTTACCTGTAATGAGATTAGGGACTTCAAGTACGTAGCTTCCCACTAATAACCTGAACTACTTGATTAGTGATAAATGTGATTTAAAATCTAGTGTATGTACATTCTTTGCTTATCAAAGTTTGTGGCTAGCAGCTGGTCAGTATGCCTAGTAACATTGCTATAGTATAGGATTTGGGTTTTTTTTCTCGTTTAAATAAAATTCTCAAGGCAGTTAAGAATTTATGCTAACTTACTGTATTTGTTGTCTTTGCTCGCCGCCATCAGGTCACTGTTCAGCCCTGTACCCTCCTTATGATCGATTGTGGACCAGACCCCTGTGGTCCATAAGAATGTCACTGGTTGGTTTTTGGAGGTAGATCACCATGTCTTTCCTCCTAGTGTGTCTTAATCTGGAAATTGCTGAAACCTAGGCAGCATTGTGGCAGTGCTCAAACCAGCACGTAAAATACACTGACCAGGAATAGAACTAAACTTTCCTGCATAGGAGGCAGGGATTCTTCCCCTAAACACCACTGCCACGTATTAGTTGTTAGTTAAATATTTCCATATGCAGTAGTTGCTTGTTTGTTTACCTGAATTGCAATTGAAAACCTTTCTATAAATGTTTGTTATTTCCTAGAAACTACCCAACTCTGGCTAACATTGAAAGGAAGAAAAAGCTAAAACTTGAGAAGGAGAAGACAGGCGCAGTGTTGACAACAACACAGTATGGGTAAGATCTTTAAGGCTGGTTTTGTCTGCGTGGGCTGCTAAATTATAAACAAGAGTACACACTCCAGTATCTGAAATTTCTACACTGCAATTCTAAAATCTTTGTCTTTGCAACTTTTTCACGTGGGTGTTTTTTGTTGTTTTTTTTTACTATATTTTAGATAAGTAATACTCATATTCGTACAGTTTCCAAAAGGATATACAGGATGTGTGAGAATTGTCTATTTTTCTAACTCTATTTTTCACTGTCCTTTTTTTTTTTAAAAACAGAATGTGGTACTTGGAGATTGTTGTTGTTGTTAGGTGCCGTCACGTTGAGTACGACTCATAACAACCCTGTGAACAAAAGATCTGAACCTTGTTCTATCCAGTGCCATCCTCACACTTCTGACACACACGAGAACTGACACACATGGAGATTATTTCATTAATATAGAACAGGCGTCATCATTCTTTAGAATAAGGATGTATAAAATATTTGTTTTGTGATCTTTCTGGTAAAATGTCTATTCCTTAGTTGTTGAGTGTAGTAGTATAGTGTATTTGGTTACTTTTTTAATTACATCTAATTTTACCCATTATTTTCTTTGTCATAGTAGTTGATAAGAGACATGTTAAATTTTTTTTTTTCAATCTGTGAATTTAGCTAGTTCTCCATTGAGATCATCAACTTGTTTAATGCATTTTAATGTTATGGTTTAGATATTTACACGTGTAGAATTGCCATGTCTTGCTATAGTAACCCTTTTATCTATTTGTGCTATGATATTTTGTACGTTAACCTCTACTTTGTCTTACGTCAATATTGCTGTTCTATATTACTTTTTTGGTGTTTGCATGATGTATTGTTTTCCACTCCTTTAGAACTTTTTTATGTGTTTATATTTAAAGTACTTTTTTTCTAGAGTCTACCATTTCATCTTTTTGAGAAGGAGTGCTATCACATTTCGCTTAGCCGCTCCTCAGCTAATGAACATTTTGGTTGGTCCTTTTTTTAAAAAAAACACAAAACAACAAAACCAGGCGAAATAATCTTTTAACCAATGTTTAGTTCATTTCATTTATTTGTATTTATATGATATTGGGTTATATTTGTCTTTCCTTTCTTGCTTTCCTTAAAATTGAGCACTTAAAAAATAGTCTGGGTTTTTTTTCTGTTAGCTTTTATTATCTGTCTTATATATATATATATATATATACACACACACACACACACACATTG